CGCTTTTGGGCGCTTTTGAGCGAAGTATGGCCAGGGCCTCCAAGTTTCGATGGAAAACTCCAAAGTGCTGATGTCAGTAGCACACAAAAGGTATGCGATCGACAAATAGCAGTGATCACAGAACCCCCCTGTTTGAAAAAGGGCGTATAAATAGCATGGAGGAGGCATTGTCCAGATCTTTTGCAACTCTCATGAAGAATGCAGCACCATTATACAACGTTTGCACAGAAAACTATGAATAAATAGGAACGTAAGTAGCAGAAAATGTACGCTTACCCGAGCAAAAGTGATATTCCTGATCATATCATTGATTACAGCAACATTGATATCATGACTGAACACGAGCAGAGCATCCTGTATGCCTTTTGCACTTCGCAACGACTCAATGAGGTATCCAAGATAGTTGGATCGGTTGTGAACCTGTTTAAGGAAATATATGGTTATTAAAAAATAATTATTTGCGTTGAACATGACGATGCGTACCTGGATCACAATGACGAATTTGACGCCTTCAACAGGACCGAACCTAGCAAGATTTAGGATCTCAAAGTTCTCGTTCAAGAAGTTAACCGAAGTTACAATGTCTTGACCAGAAATAGTGAAGTTAGCACCTGTAGCTGAAAATAAAAATCTCAGTTTTGCTCTTGTAAGCTGGTAATGATAAGATCACTAACTTTGAAAATGCCATAATGAGATATCTTGATCAGCTTCATAGTCGGGAATGGTTTCATTGACCAACTCTGCTTCTATCTCTTTCATCACTTGGGTATGAACATCAGGAACTGAAGGGAACGACGGCGATTCCCGCATAATAGATTCTGGGGACGGCCCTTTCATGATCACAAATATGAAACCGATCTGTAAAATCATGGTCAAGGTAAGCAAAGAGATGTATGTCACAAAATTTCAAATAACTCACCAAACATATAGAAATCACAATGTTGAGGAGCTTGTATCCACGACGAAGAAGCATTTTGCCGTACTGTGTGATGGCAAGAATTTTGGGACCCAGTTTTCAGGCTAATATCCAACCTGAGTGATCTGCCTCAAAAATAAACTCATAATATAGGTTATTTTTGCCGGAAGCGAGTAATATACGGAGCGACAGAAGAAAATCTTGAGATTACGCGTGCGACGTCGCGGCAACGCGTGCGGCAAGGAACGCGGCCAAAAATAGGAAGTGATGGAGATTCATCACTCGCCCAATTTCTACGAGTTTCAAACAAGCACATGAAAATTTCTATGAAAACAATGATTTTCAGAGATTGCCGAGATATAGGGTGTAGAAATGTAGGAAGAACAATGCCTGACATGAATAACAATGCTCTGTATCACACAGTGCTAATAACTGGTTTACCCAGAGTGCCCTAACTGGAGGACGAAAATTGATCAGACAGAAACTAAAGTTCCGCTCTCGACTTAGAAAACACCTACACATAGTCAAATTCTTTTGAAAATGTGGAGGAAAGAGCGCTCCGCACAATTACCCATTTTCGCTTGAACGGCATAGTTGAAAATGCAAGTTGTGCTTTATTTTCACCCTTTGTAAAAATAATCTGTACAAAGACATTTCTTGACACTACAGAGATGGTTTGATTAGTACCATTCTATTCAATTACGAACGAGCAATTATTCACTTCACATGGTATTGTCCAAACGCTTTTTTATTCAATGACGTGGTGCAGGACTGCTACCAATAAAGCAAATCAGCTATCATTCACTCTTTGACAAGAGAGAAGAGCACGTTTTGCGTATAGTCGATTCGTTGACCGCGCGGACTGCTCCAACGTTGCGGACCCGCGCGGCGCGCTGCTGATTAAA